ATGAGAATAGTGAATAATTTATTCTCGAAAGATAGCAGCAGTAGCAGTAATTGAATTTGTGGATTGTTTACAATGTTGCGAGCCAAATAAAAAAAAATTGCAAATGTGACTCGAAAATAAATATTTTTATCAATTATATTTAAAATTATGATTTAAATTGCACAAAGTTCAGGCGCTGCGTACTAAGAATAATTACAATAATTATAAGGAAAATTTTAAAAATAACTGTCTATATGTTTGGCACTTGTGCCTCGTTTTTTAAATCCTTTTAATTTATCTGCTTAGATTCGAACAAATCCGACCAAACAAACTTTATGCCACACAAACACAATGTCACAAACCAAAAATTTGTAAATGACGACTGCGATCATTAGTGGAATTATTATTAAGACTTTTTGGACAGTGGGGCAGCCCTAGAGCGTCGGCGGATCTGTAGACCTCATTGGTGGCGCGATGCAATAAAGATAAACCGGCCGGTAGTCAGAGAGTTACGGTGATGTTTATAGCTATACGCGCGCCCTGGTTCTCTTCGCCTGATTGGAAACGCGAATTAGTGGCCATTGGGTGTCGAGGTATTGTGGCGAGGGCTAGAGGAGGTCTGGTATTCAATCTGTTGACCTGGTTTTGAGAATTGTTGTCGTTTGTTTTATTTTTGTTTATTAAGTCATTTTTGGGCACTGCGTTATTTGAATGGATTTCAAATAAAATTCGGAAAACTCCTTATCTTTGATGGTTATCATCTGGGGTATGATGCACAAAAGATTTGTAAATACGTATTTTAATTAACTTCAGATTTATTGACCAGTTGTTGATGCTTGTTATTTAATTTCATGTTTTAATAATGTTTTTTGTTTTTGTTTCAGATCAAAAGTGCTTGGTAAGTGCTAGTATGTAATTTATTTCTAAATATTTTAATAAAGTTAATATTCAATAATTTTTCATATAACATAACATTTTTTGTTTGCAATTACATCAAAGCTGCATCGTAATGATTGCGGAATGAATTCGCTACAATTTTTCCGCGTCTCAGTTTTTCTGCACAGTGCGTCGCTCCCCGCGATATATCAGCCGAAAATTTTGCGTGAGAAAAATCACGGAGCATAAAAAATATAATTATAGGCGTTATAAAAACCAATAGCATAACGGTCGCGGCGGAATGCTCCGGCCACTATTTTTGTTGCCGTCACCGTTACTGGCTGGTGATAGAGTTGAGGAATTTGGGCGGACGCGTCATCGAATTTTACACATTGGGCAAGATTGCGAAATTTTACGGAAAAGATATAAATTAAATTAAAGGATAATAATTTTAAATAGGCACCTAATTACAGTCGAAATGTGTATTACAATGTATTATTTTTTTCTTCTTCAACCAAAAAAACATAGGTAGTATCATTTAAAAGCATGTGATGTGTCTCTCTGTTCGCATACTCACGATATTTGGCAAATAACTAATAAAAATAAGCATAATACCTAGAATCAAATAGTTTAAATTTGGCATTTCATATTCTTAAACATCAACATTCAATCAAAAATAATAATATTAAATACGAGTATTCAATGAAAGTTTAGTTAGTCTGCTCATTCACTGCAGCGAGCCCACTCCGAACGTGATTTGCAAATTTCCAGCTCTCCTGTCTTTGTCACTCAGGGTAACATGTAATATTACATGAGTGACACTCATATGAGTGACCGAGATAGAGTCCAAATTTCGGACAGTGCGTTGTGTACTCACAAGTGTCTGAAACGTTATCTGTGACGTCACTCATTAGGCGCGGGCGCACGCACCGCATACAAACACGTAACGGAGCCTACTCTAAATCCTATGTAATTGGGCGGCCATTCGGTACTGTTAGCGAAATATTTGGACGATGGACCAATTTACAAGATGACGGCTTTTTTAGTTTCATGAAAAAATTTTCTGTTTTATCAAATTCCAATGAAAATTGAAAAACAACTGATTTTTCAGGGCTCAGGATTGCAAGATAATCCTCGAAAAGATTCATACAGTAAAAAATTAGTGATCCCTATTATTAATTTTTAATTGATCAAAGATAACATTCTCAGTAGTAGGTATGTATGATAATAATTTGTTATACTAGTACAAACATACAGCATTTTTTAACTATAAAAATCTATTCCTATTTACCGTTCGGTCATTTTCAAGTTTTTCAACCACTTTAAGTACATATTTAAATTCAATTCGAATATCATCTATTACAACAACGGTATTCTGAATGAAATATTAAGCTATAAAACCTCCCGATAATGAGTTCTGATTTATTTATTTATTTATTTATTAGGTCTACCAACATTGTTACATTACAACATGTACACTTAAAAATTACAATTATGAACAAAGTTACAATGCACGATACTGATCACGTACTAACTTAAACTCCAATATTAAAATGACTACATATTTAGGAAATGTTATTAAAATTAATGCCAGGACACTAATACCTGCGAGTAATACCCAATTGCGTCCTTGTCTTACAACCGCAATACCGTTTAGTAATGTAGGTAACGTCACGACGTGCGCAGTCGCACGTGCAAAAGTCGCGCATCAATGAGGGTTTTCGCGAATGAGAGATCCGCTAGATGGCGGGACGTGGATGTGGGGTCTGACTGCTGCGTGATTGGTGGATTTTTACATATCTGTCAATGTCATGTCAAAAATGACCAATCATGCAGCATTTGGACCTCGCGTCTACGTATTGCCATCTGGCGGATTTTTCACTCGCGAAAACCCTCATTGAGGAAGCTTTTTGGGGTCCTTTCAAGTCTCTCACTTCGTTAAAAAACTCTCTTAAGTAAAATAATGTTTAGCTCATCAACAATATCCTGCTATTTATAAAGCAGCGTTGTTGCGGAATGATAACAATAGTTCAACTACCCTGAAAAACGAGTTAGAGCTTTAATCATTTCAGTACTCAAGCGGAAAGTGGGTAAGTTTTTCTGACTACCGCAAATCTTAATGGCTATAATTGTTTTCATTCAGCTAACTAAGAAGCTACGTTGATCAGTATAACTAAATTTCTCAGCCCTAACGTCGGTGCTCCAAAGTGCATTTTAAGTTTAAGGCTTCTTTCATATCGCACCGAGCGTCCATGGTAAAACATTTTTCCATAAGCGCCGGAGCGCGTCCTGAACAGGTTTGTCCCGAGGGTAACGGTACTCGAGGCCTCAATCGGGCTTTTTGGAAACGACGATATCTCGGAATTGAGATAGCGACCGTATTTATAATGTTCATTAAGTTGTTAGGGGTTGATTGGACAGGTTATTATATTAACAAGAAATGATTAAATTCAATTTGCAAGTGGTTATTTCGAAAATTTTATGAAAAGTATAATAATGGAAACAAACAGGAAAATTACGGATCATCTTATCGTCATTAGTGTAAAAAAAAATTGCAGTTAACTATTATTTTTATATTTTTTATCAAAACTTTAATATTGATCCAAAAAATAGATGCCATTGTAAGGAAGCCCTTTAAAAATATAACTACTTGGCCGGTTTATTACGTATTGAGGTCAATCTAAAATGCGCCGCATTCTTCTCAGAATCCGAATAAAATTAGCAAAACCCTAAATACAGGAGCGAGACCCAATTCAGCATCCTGCTGCGGCCGGATCCGATGACGCACCGGAGAAAGTCTCTCACCCGGATCAGATCCCCGCTACGGAATCCGTGAGCTTTGGCGTGACTAATGTTTGTAAAACTGCAAGACACTATTATGTATTGTTTCAATGAAATTACTAAGATTTTCTGTAAAACATTTTAAGTTCATAGTGCCAAAACTAGAGATCAAAATCGCGGATGACGAGCGTTAGCATTTACTGATTTTTTTATCGATATACCTACATACATGTTTGACACAGAAGTCATAATTAGTTTTTGATTGATTGTCTAAAAAACAATTAAGATCATCATTCATCAACGGTTATTGTAAAAGATCCACCTTCGTTCTCTACGTATAGAAGAAATTAATCTTAACATTTAATTTCGTCAAATAGACGCCTTGATCGTACTTGATACTTTGCAATTGTAAGGTGTCTATTCAAACCATAACGCTTGGTGAAGTATCAAAGCCGAAGAACAGTTCGGTAGTTCACAACCCACACAAAAAAGGCAATTCATCAACAAGTGTCAAAGGCTTCGATCCATCACCAACAATCGAAAACAATAATAACATGGACACGACTCGCGAATGCCGAAACACTAATTAAGAACTGTGAATCAGTCGTATACAGTTATCTTTTCACTTTCCGAGACCCCCCTTCGGTCATTTGCCCCCCTGTGGGCCATTTCTCCCCACCTTGCCCCTCAGATGAGCCTGTAGAGTTGTGGCCCCGAAACCTAGATTCACAAGTGCGCCTACGTGCTAGTTTTTATATTAAGATTTTTGTGGTTCAGATACTTGGATGGTTTGGTCGTTTGGACCAATGCGGGTATATTTTTTTATTGATCGGATTTCGATTGAAAACAGATTCAACCACATCATCAATGACCAACCTCAATATTAGCTTTTTCTGCATATCACGGAATTTTTTTGCATAGATGAGTTTTCATAAATGTACGTTACCACCAAATGAATCTTGTTTACTCATTTCAATTTGTACCTACCGCACTGCCGCTAATTTATTTAAAAGGCAATATTTTTTAGTGAATTCTTTGATTTTTGATTTGAATCCGTAGATTATCACAACTGGACGACGATTTCTATCAAACTATCATTTAATATTTATTTCATAATAAAAGTTATCATGTTGAGCTTAACTGTAAAATGTTTAATACGACTTAAAGCTAATACATCGTCAAGGAATCCGCTGGGAATAAACCACGCGCTCTTAATCCCATCTTATAAAGCTGTCTAACTGTATTAGATTCCTTGTGCGCAAGCGCCGGATTACGTCCTTTTGAATAATTTAACCGAACACAATAGACATTTTATGAATTCGGACATTCCACCCATAAACGAATATAATTTGTGTTTAACTTACATGATCTTCAACGTCATAGCCACCACCAAAATTGATGTATTACCTGTGTAACAGAAAAAAAAACACATGAGAACAAGAATAATGGCAATCATCAAAGTGTTAAAGACTTCTAATTTTAATACTTATTTTGTTCTTCCAATCACATGGAAAATAATCTCTGTAAGAAAGTTGATGACGCTACATGTACTAATTCAAAACTTTGCAACACATTTTTAGCATTATTAGTTCTATATGTGAATTACCACCTAGATTGTTAAACTTTCTTAAAATGAAAAAATTCGTAATCACTAATTAAAATGTCATCCCCGTGTCAGGTGCGAATTAAAATCCCTTTATAAATATGATTTGGTATAGTTACGGTGAATATTAATGTTACCATCGAGCTCGTGTATATTGACCGATATTTCGAACAAAAGGCGATTGGTCTCGATCACATCGAAGCGTTTCTTGTGAGGTTTAGATGAGGAAAACTACAAGCGATGCTAAATTTCATGTCTGTATTAGAGTTTGTCAATGACACGTTGCTTGTGAATGAATTATTTTTGTTTGCTTTACTTTGAGTTGCGTTTTTCTTCCTCGGTTTCTCACTGATGAGGATCGCGACCACAGATAGTTGAATTGTTTTACATAATGAAATTAATTCTGAACAGTTACTGTTTGGAGATTTTTTTATTTACATGAAATCTTTGCTGCATTCAACAAGTACCTAATCTTTCTTCAATGAGGAATTTAGCGACATTTTTACCTCATCTAGCACGCTGTTTAAAAAGATACATTCAACCAGCATCCATCCATGCAGCCGAAATAGTTTTAACACGGTAGTGGGCGGTACTAATAAAACTTGTAAGCGTAACAAATAATCTCATAAAACTACTTTAAATACATTTTAAGACTACCGACTAAAGCAAGTGTCATGATACAAAGTAGTTAAACTTAAAATCTTTCGGATATTATTTTTAAAAGAGTCAATGTTTTTGATAATAAATATTTGATATATAATTAAAGTATAGACACTCCGGCACCGGAGACGATTGGAACGTATAAATACTTGGCATACTTTTATATTTTATTACATCTTTTTACCTTTAGTTATATTGTACAAGTTATAAGCCAATAGAAGATCGATGATGCGATTCAAAAGATAACAATGATTTATTAGCATAGAACACCTTTATGAAGTTTTTCGTTGTTTAAGTATCTCACATCCGTCATACTTCATGTGACCAGTATCGGGCGGATTAATCTGCTTAATGTGGTGAATAAATTACGCTTATTAGCGCGTACTTTCTCCGCGCGCGCGCAATGGAGCGCGGAATAATAGCGTTTGTTGCGCGGCTTTGGGCGGAATACGCCCTTAACTTTCTCAGTGTGTTTCGCTGTCGCAAGTGCTTGTCAAAGTTATTGTTTTCATTTGAATTGAGTATTATGGTTTGAATTACTAAGCCTCATTTCACTAAATGAAAGAAAGGCTAAACGTATTCAAACCATGATTACAGCTCTAGCTTTGTAGTTTTTTTTAATCCATTGAAATACATACATGTTTTCATAATACTTTGTAGTGTTTGTGTATTGCAAGTGACTCAGCCAGCCTGAGTGATAAGACACAAATATGCTTAGTATGCAAATACAAGACAAATTAATATTACAAAGGCTGTAATTTTGGATTTCTCTGATCCTGAAAAAGGTACTGAAAATGTATATTTTCTGCTCAATGACCTTCCTAGAGCCAAGTAATGTATGTTTTCAATCGGAAAAACTAGACCACGCGACCAACTAAACCTAAAAGGCTATTCCTTGGTTCCCATCGTCCGCCGCACCGTTGTCCCATCGACGTCACGCGCTAACAGTACCGCGCGTAGCACGTGGGGTACCGCTGGGGCACGCCTGAGCGCGCGCAGCTATGCGTTTTGACAGTTACCAACCTACTCGGGTGCCGCCCGAATCTGTTGACCGGTGCGCGTGAGATGAGCATGTGTAATTGATTGAGATTTTTTCAAGTTAAAGAAATTTTCGAAATAAACAATCAATTACATAAACGGATTTTGATCTGCATCACTAGTCAGACTGATCTTGTTGTTTACTACACAAAGCAAACAATAACATGACCAGTAATTTAATTACGAGTATTGCAACAGATATACAAACGGCTATTGCAAAGAAGCATCTTATTCCGGGCGACTGTGTCTTCGGTATCATTTTATTTAAATTCATAACTCATCTTTGACAAGACTAAATAATTCATTAGATTGTTGTGTACGGAACAAAAGTTTTCAATCGTTGTAAAAACTGTCTGAAATACTGAAATAAACAACAGATAAGATAGGTACTCGTAATAGGAGATTGGTGATTGAAAATGACTTACCTAGATCTTTGTCATTTATAGAACGCCTTATGCGAATAATTGTTGTATCAATACAATATTTTGAAAATTATAAATAACTTGAAAAAATCGAACTGCCTAAGGCGGGAATTGAACCCAATTCAATTAAAGTTCAATTTCCGCCTTAGGCAGTTCGTTTTTTTCAAGTTATTTATAATTTTCAAATTAGTTTGAGATGCGACTCTTAACACTAAAAATTAAATAACAATATTGTATATATTGTACTTTGTTCTTAATTTGTACATATCTAGTTTTATTAAAAATGACATGAATTAAAATAATTAAGCTACTGAAGACGCAGTCGCTAGGAATAAGATGCTTCTTAATACAAATAATCAATAGACAACAGAATGCATAAACTGCACTATAGTGATCATACACAGTTCCCCGCGTCCTTGTTGCGCGGTGTCCGGAGCGCGCTAACTGCACAATGCTATGCTTTCGCTATGGTGGACGGAGCCTCGTTCGGTTCTGAAGCGCCGACATAGGTCCGGTTTGGTTTTGGTTTATGACTTCAGCGGAGAGGCAAACTGTAGTTCATATAGGTAAAACATTTAACGGAAATCTGCCACGAGACTCAAGTAATAAAAAGGAAAGTATTATTTTATCCTCGCTTTGGTGGTATTTAAGGATTTGTATTTCTTCAGAACAATACATAATAACACACATAGTTATAGTTAAACAAAGTTAAGTTAGGTACCTTCATTTGTTATTTTTTATTTATTTAGGGCAATTTACCTTTTTGGTGTATGTTGCTTACGTGTGCGTTCATTACCACTTGAAAATGGAACTAACGGCAAGATCTCGACTTAATGTAAATTTATACCTATATGAAGTTCAAAATCGTTTACATTATAACCCGTTCATTTCTTTTGCGTTAGAGTTACAAAAACCTTTCAAGTTTAAGTCCTTTAAGTAAGTTCATCCATCATAATTATTACCAGTTTAATAGTACGCAAGCATACATATTCTAAATGTCAATTTTTGTTTTACAATGTACAATAATTATTAAAAACGATATGATAGGAATCTTAAGAACCTGCGCCTGCGCCTAAAACGCGCCTAAGGCCATAAATACGTGTGAGTTCAGCGCCGTCCACGCTCGGACAAGGACCTCGGAAAAGCCGCGCCTACACTGCCGACAATGTTTAAAAATAACAAGGTTTATTTATTTATTTATTTATTTATTTATTTATTTATTTATTTATTTATTTATTTATTTATTTATTTATTTATTTATTTATTTATTTATTTATTTATTTATTTATACTTCAGCACACAAAGTAACAAATGCACTAATGCCAGATGGCATTATCTGCCAGTCAACCACGGGTCATGCAGAAAGAGTAAGGCGGTGCAAAAAATTTACATTTTTGATAATAAACCTACTTACATAAGATTACATAAAATAAATAACATAATACAAATAAATATAATAGACATACACATAAATACATAAACATAATAATATTATAGATGTACACATCACTCATGTCTGAGATAGCGAGAAAATGGAGAAAAAAGGTCATTCCTTGAAATGTTTGCGCAGAGCCTTTTTGAAAGTAAATTTGGAAGAAGGTTTGCGTAATTTAGCCGGAAGGCCGTTCCAGAGCCGTACAGCGGAGACTAAGAAAGAGTTGGACATGAAGCCGGTGCTATGATGAGGGGTGGCAAGCTGAAGAGACTGACTAGAGCGAAGATTTCTATTGTGAGTGGAGTGGAGGTACTGAAATTTATCTCTTAAATAAGATGGAGAGTCAGGATTGAAGAGAATTGAATGAAGCATACAAAGTGAACGAAGATATCTACGCTGTCTGATGGTTTATACTTCAATTAATTTATTTTTTCATCAATGAATACAGTTTTTAAAATAAAATAAAAAGAGATGACTAGGTACTGAAATCAAAATAAAAGACTGCATTAAATACTGTAATAACAGCGTTTGAGATACCTTGCAGATTTCGAATTTAGATTAAAAATATTCTTGGGATCTAACAAGTTTTGTTCTGTTATTTGAAACATTAATAAAATAAAATATATTTAAAAGTTGGTTGTACAATGTACATTTTATGACATTAATCAAACTTGCAAAGTTCTATCACAGTATATAAAGCTTATCTACTGTGGTTCTATTAACAATTAATATTTGTATTTCCATCCTTAGGCGTAGCGTGTGCACTATCCTTTACAAAGGTTCCTGGCCCTCAATGAAATGTAGGTCAAGTTTATTGACAAATCAGGACGTTGACGTCGTGCGTCTCGCTCTAACGTGTATCGACGTCTCGTTCCTTTAATCCACAGCCTCCCGGTATTTGTGGAGTTGGATCTCGTTTAGATATAAAGTTGCACGATTGTTAGGTCGATAAGAATATCTTATTGCTCGATTGCAGAAATGAGAGAAATAGTTTTAGACATAGAGGATAAAATAAGATATTTTTGTATAAGTTTTTTTGTAGTATTCAAAAAGCTCTTATAAAATCAAAATCAAAATCAAAATTATCTTTATTTGTTTAGACTAATTAAATTAGTTCTTGCAAATCGTCAAATGCTCTTAAGGAGCCTATACATGTCTCATTCTTTTTTTGCCCTACCAGCGCTTCGAGACAAACATTTGGCAAGTGCTGAGAAGAAGCGCCGCAACAAACTCAGTCACCACTGTCTGC